CACAATCTAACAGAAAGGTGCTCCAAAAAAGCTTTATTTATGAATAAGAATATGGAGGAAGGCGCTTTTATGTGTCCTGACTCAGATCTACCAGCAAATCACAGCACCATCAGATGCCACCTGGTGGAGTAGAGGGACCCTACACTAGAATTATAAGTTTTTCCTCTAATAAATTTATCTTAAAAAAAATTCATTACAATAGTATTTCCCAAAGGGTATTTTTCCTTGGAAAACTAATGCCACAAGGTTCCCCTGGCAATTAAGTTTAGGAATTCCTAAAGGTGGTAGAAGAGAGTGGAAATACTTTTAATGAATAGTTTAGTGTATTTTCAAGGTGACAGTTAAGAATCACATGACTTTCAATTCAATTAATTAGGATTTTAATGTCAGGGGACAACGGAATGCCAGTGGGGCAGGCAAGGGCTCCACCCAGGCTTGCTGTGAGCGATTCCTACATACTGGTCTATGGAACCTGAAAGGCCAGGCGCAAGGGGAAGTGGTGGTGGTGGGCAGGGATCCCAACTGACTTAGCTTCCCACTGCTACGATCGTGCTCACTTGAGCAATTTCAAGGTAAAGTGTCCTTTAGTAGGCATTCGTTCAACCTTTCAGCTACAACAGTGACACGGAATGTTACAGAGTTGCAGGAATAAAATAACAAAACCTTGGCCTCAAGGCACTCAATAAATATCTGAACAAAACAGCTCCTGCTCCGGTGGGAGAGAGATGCAGTCGGTTCTACAGTGAGGACACCATGAAGCAGATATGGAATGGTACAGGAAAAGGGAGGGGGAAAACCCATGTCCGCTGTTCCATCACGTTACATAATATGTGGTGTAGATGCTTTTTAAGAAAACAGACATAATACTTAAAGTGCTTTCTTTCAGGCAGGTGGCTTTCTAATTAAGCTCGTACAGACTTTAAGACTATTACTTTATTCTCACCCAAAGTATTTCGCACATGATGTGACCTAATAAAACAGGTCTCCACCCTCCCTAATTTTACAGATAATCTCAAACACAGAAAAGTCAAATATTTTGTTTGTTCAAGTTTACAGATTCCGTCAAGGGCAGACAAAGGATAAGGACCAGACACTGCTGCTCCCAGGCCACACTGCTGCCTGCCCCAGACAGCACTGCATCCCTTTTGTAGGGTGAATGAAAAAGAGTTATCAAATTTTCTCTTTTAAAAAAGTCACTGCATCATAGCAAAATATAACAACTTCTTACCAGAACACACTTTTACAGCAAATAATGAAATAATAAGATGGAAAAAAAAAATCAAGTAAGCAACCTAAAAATACTGACCCTTCTACCAAATTTTCTTTAGGCAAAAAAAAAGCAGCCTGTCTGCAAGATCAAATGAGATAATGTTCAAAGAGGAATAGGCTTCGCAGTCTGCGAAGAGTGAAGTCCTAGAGACTAGGTTCCCTAGGGATCTCGAACCATACAGACTGCTGACCCACAATTACTCATCCAGCACTTTGACATGATGAAACAGTACTGAAGGATGTATAAGATCTATTATTAAAAATTAAAAGGAAGGTTTAAATAAATGAATAATCATGTTGTGATCCTAGAAAGGGAAGCTGAATGTTAGGAATAGGTCGTTTACCTCTAAGTCAATTTATATATTTAATACAATTCCAACCAAAATCCAACCAAATCATGGATGCATATAAAAGGGTAGTTCATAGAACACATGAACTAGAGGAAGCAGAGTCCAGACTTTACCAGGTAATAACTTAAAAGGAAGAAATGATATTATATTTACTCATACAAAATGAGGGATCTCGACCAGGAGAAAACACAGAAATACATCCAATTACATGTAATAAAATATTTTGTGATAAAGCAGGAATCATCAAGATGAGCGTAAAAAGCAGCATTATTCTGTAAATGTTGTAACTGATTAGCCAATAAGAAGGGGGAACAAATCAATTGAGTTCTGTATTTTAAGCCAAAGTAAATTCAAGTTGCATAAAGTGTTAAATAATTTTTAAATTTTAAAAGAAAGTGGACCAGTGATCAGATTTTTAGAAAAAGAATTTTTTAATTAAGAAAAAGAACCACAGATTTAACTACATGAAAATATAGAACTGCTACATAAAAAAAAAAAAAAAATCATAAAAGTAAACCAGCTAGGAAATAATAAACAGAAATATAACGAATAGTTACTGTCCATCCCACCTAATAGGCGGGCCTCCATAAACTGACAAATTAACACCAAGACTGAGATCAACAGGTAAAGAGTATAGGTAATTGAGATGAAAGGAAATAGTTAAAACAAAAAAGAGAAAGTAGTTAATGTTAAGTGCCGAAGTGGTAAGTGAACTTTCTCTAATTTTCTTTATTATAATGTGTAAGAATATCAAACGTTAGATATATAGTCTTAAGGTGACTATATATCTAGAGACCAGATCTTTCAACTAAACGGTGGAATTCTTGAGGGTAGGAATGAATCCCCTTCTGGCACACCCCCAGCACCTTGGCATAACGCTTCATATATGGTACATTTGTAGATTGATGGCCAGCTAGCTTCAAGGAACAAATGTCAAGAGGGTGTCCTGGCTATTTCCAAGACAATTTAAAAAAAAATCATTAAGGCAACAGAAAGACGTATGCGTTCTATAAATGCCTGTGGTTTGTTGAACCAGGACATCTGCTTTTTACCACAACAGTCTAAATACTTCTTCAGTTAAGCTCTCTATAACCAAATGTTATGTGTGTCGAATGTTTATGAGGCCTCGATTTGTATACACAATCTAAACACAACACTGATCTAGAATTTACACTCCAAACAGTACCATTAAAAAAGAAGTGTGCATATTTTTCTTATTGAACATCTGCTATCAATAAGTAAAAATACCATTTGACTTCAGGGTAGGAGAAATAAAAGAGGAAAAAAAACCCAGATGCTCTGGGCATGATTTATTTTAGGAAATCCTTCACAGTGCACATATTATGAAAAATCATCATTCCAAACTTTTCTTTTTCTTCTAAAAATGGTTCATTAAGCTTAAGTGAGAGCTTATCCACAAAAATGATGTGAAAATGACTAGAATGAATCTCATTTCTTCCAAAGTTCATATGCAACAGGATTTCACAAGACCCAACTAGACTCACAAGACAGAAAAGAAATGTAGTGAAGTTAAATCAGGCTAGATTTATTCCAGAAAGAAATTTCGCATACTCATTGATCAAAATTAGTGATCTGACCAGAGGTTTGTTTTGTACCTTCAAGTAGTTTTTACCCATTTATCACCTCCCTGTGCTTAAAAAAAGAAAAGAAAAAATGGGGAAAATTTTGTACTTCGAAATGTTTTTCCAAAAAGAAGCAGTATTTTGGAAACCTCTGAATGAAAGAAGTAATTTAAGATGAATCATTAGCACATAATATAAACTAACTAGATAATAAAACATCCTTCCATGACCTTGAAATATCCTCTTCAACTCAAGAACTTTAATGCTACCATCGCTTTAGTGAATGACTCTAGGTTTCCCTTTACATATATATTATCTTCGGTTGAGAGTTTCTTCGAAGGGCTTTAGTTCTCTAAGAAGATTTTTGAATATTTGCTTCTTAAGCTTATTTAAGTTGGTAGTATTTTGCTTTTGAATTTCAAACTTTGACTCACTAAGTCTTCTTAGTCACCTGAAGATGTGCAGCTCAAAGTCTTTCAAGTGGACAGAAGACATACTCATGTGACAGCTTGATTTCCTCTCCCAATGTTCTCTGGATGAATACAGTAGATTCTCTATGCATAAAACCTTAAGATAATGTATATATTAAAATGGCCAGTCATATAACTGTTTGATATAATATATCAAACATATAATAAATAGTACACTACTGTAACACCAAAAAAATAATAATCTAATATTCAGTAATAGAAAAATGGTTACATACTTTTGGTTGATCTACTGGGGAAAAATGAAATGGCCATCAATCTGATCACTCACTTGACAAATAGTGTGACTGAACCCCTGCTATGTACCAGACGATGGAAAAAGAATGCTAAACTGAACGTACATGGTCCCTAACCTCAAAATCTCACAGTCTGGGGAAGAAGACAGACATTAAACAAATCATCCCAGAACTACATACATAAATACAAACTATGTTAAGTGCTAAAAAGAAAACAACGGGGTGCCCAACTGAGATTGAGGAAGATTGTGGAAGGGATATTTGAGGGGATCCTGAAGGATGAATAGAGGTTTGACAGGTGGGAAGCACATTTCAGGCAGCAGGACTAGCACATGTAAAGGCCCTAGTGTAAGGAAAAAGGGGCAAGAGTGAATACCAGTTAAGTGTCCCCTGGTCTAGTCCAGGGTGGGGGAAGGGGCCTGGACCAGAGAAGTAACAAAGGAGATGGAGACAAGTGAGCAGATGAAAGTATATCCCACAGAGAAATGACAGGAGGTTATGACTGATAAAAAGAAAGAACGTGGAGCAACATGAAAAAATGGGCAGGATACAATGCTTAATTTAGAAGGGAGGACCTCAAATAATATATAATTTGGCTAAAGTAAAAAAATACATATGGATTTGAGAATAGTGAAACTGGCAATAGGCTTATACTAATGTGACATGACATTTATACTTACAAAAATACTTCTTAATGGAAATGTATTCCTAAGTTATGGTACATCCGACTGCCAATATAACCATTAAAAACTCTGACCAAAATATTTACATATGTAAAAAAAAGAGATTGTGATGTAATAAATTTTAAAATGCAAAACATATCACTGCAGACAAGCTATGATCAAGCTACATTTTTAAACAGCTAAATGTTTTAGAGATTAAATTTGAAAGAGCACAGTATTTTCTGGGTGCCAATAGAACATATAACAATGTAAGTATTTAATATAAATACAGAGGAAGGGAATCAAGAAAATGAAAATATATAATCATAAAGATAACATATGCAAAGGAAGATATCAATATATACATACATTCCTGTTAAAGTGCTAATGTCTTAATATAAATAATTTTTACCTTTCTTTAATGAATGTAATGCTGAGGTGAAGAAGGTCAAATAACCAGGAGGCTGGGGTGAGCCACTGAACTCAAAGTACCCGAGTACTCCAGGCTGCAGAAACAAGAGCAGAATTGGGTGACTGAGGTATCACTGGTCATTGTGTAATGTACTATTTTAAAACAAGACATGCCATTATAATCTGACAACTGCAATTTGTTGCATTTCATCGTCTAAAAAAGCTTAACCACATGAAAAAAGTTAGGGGTTAGGGTTGACCTTTCTCTCCATTTAGACACCAAACAGGGTAAGGAATGAGTTGGCAGCAGCTTTTACAGGGGCAATTAATTCAGAGCTGGAACTTCCTTCCCTCTCTCTAAGTAGGTCTTTCCACTCTCTGCTGATAGTTCTCCTAGGTCCCTGGTTTGAAACCTCACCAGCAAGTACTCACTCGCTTTTGTTTAGCAATTCTAGGCAAGCTACATCAATAATATCTTTGTAGCCTTTCTTAGATTTCTCCCTCAAATGCTTCCCCTCACTCCAAACACACCTTCACACTTCCTGGAAATCAGGTTAAATCTGATTGGCTCCACTTGTGTTCAAGGTCATCCTTCAAATGGTTCTTTCCTCTCCCCACACCCAGAACCCAGCATTCCACAATGGCAACCCTCTTCTCTTGTCAGGGCAGTCTACAGAGGGCCCACTTCTTACCCTCTTGCTCCTCCACCCACAAACATTTCCACCTGCTCATTCCACTTCTCTAAGCTCAGCACAGAATGCCTTCCTATTCTGCCAAACCAATGAATTGTCCCCTTCCAGATACACTCTGCCTTCCTGTTCAGAATTTCTTCCATCTTTGAAGGCCCTGTGGCAATCATTCTGTCCTGTTCTGTTCTGTAATAATAGTATCTGTCTTAAGAGTCAAACAGATCCCTGAGGAAAGAATGTTGAGCTTGGAGTCAGAAGATCTAAGCTCAAATCCGACAGCTGAATGACCTCGGGTGAACCCTTCAATGAGAAGCCTGTTCCTTATCTGGTGAATGGGACCATGCAAGATGGGACTGCTGAGAAGAATAAGCTTGGTGAACTATAAAGCACTAGGCGAATGTAAAGACTCCTTTCTAGAGCTAAAGCACATGACACCATGCACTTAATAAGTAACCGTGGAGCTGATTGATCATTGGGACAAAATCAGATCTAAAAGGTAAGGTAGAAATTTAATCTGTTGGTAAAGTTTAAAATAAATTGTATAAAAAAAAGAAATTTCTGATCTATAGCAGAACATACTATCTTTCAAATCTAAATCACTTATTCTCAGAAGATTCAATTTTAAACAAATCATTTGGTTTTCATTTTGGTGGAAACTGAGATCATCAGAATGTTGAATCCTAACATGTAAGAAAATCCAGCAAATAACCATCTTCTCAAACAACTGAGGAAATCAGAAAGCAAAGTTACTGAAAACAGGATTTTCTTTTACTAAAACTCCTTCAAAATGTTTTAACAAGCCAATCCAGAATTGGCTCAAAGGAAAATTTCATAGTGTTCGGGTTAAGGTTTCAAACCAGGCTGTAATGGTGTAACAAGCCTTCCTACCAAGAACAAAGGAAGACAAAATCGTCAGACATTCTAGTCAATTAATGTTGGACACAAGATTACAAAAATAGAAAGAAAATAGTCACTTAGGTTTCTCTATATTCTGACCAATCTCCCAAACAAAAACCAAATGGAATAAATTCATGTAAGTATTGATAAATGTTTCATGGCTAAAAATTAAATGAGGTGAATTTCAGATCTCTTCTCATATCATGTTATTCTCAGTGGCTTCACAGAAATAGACATATGGCCCCAAAACATATATCTATATGTATATATATGTTTGCTTATATATGTGCACACATGTACACACATTAATGGAAATGAAAAACTCTGAATTCTGAGTCATTAAGGGAAACCCTAATTAAACCTTTAAAAATGAACAAAGTTTGGACCATGAGCAGGGGTCCTTTGTGTACATTTCTGCAGTATAAGGATTTACTTTTGTCAATGGCATCACTGCCACAGTTTCCCAAGGGGCTACACAGCTTGGACGAAGAAGCCTCTCTTTCTACAGAAGATCTGGTATTGAACTTTTCAAGTAGTTTGACCAAAGAAATTCCACAAACACTATAAAACGAATAAACTCATAAGCAAAATTATTTTCACTTTTTATTGCCAAAAAGATTGTAAGATTCAAAAAATATATGATATTTAAAGGCTGTGAACCAGCTATTTTAAAACACAGTAAAACAGGAAAAGTTTATTTTAAGAGCTATTTTTCAAATATTCACAATACTATGACATTCTGTATTAAATTTTGAAAACTGGCATGTTTGAGAATGTAACTTAAAATTACTATTTAAAAATGATAAAAAGGAAATAAAGTAAAGTGATAGTTATCTGTTTATTTCTATTACAAATTATCATTTAAAAGTTACTACTAAACTCCCTCTGGTTACGCTTTAGGTAAAACAAATTTCGCAGCCATTTCCCCAGAGTGTCAGTGTCTCCCCAGCAGAAGCTGTATTTGGGAAATGATTATATATTTCAGTTTCCTGCACAGTACTTTCTTAAATCTGGAAAAAGGGGAGTTTGGGGAACCAAACACATGCATATTCACATACACAGACCTTTCTAGGTCTAAGCCTCTTGTTCGCTCAGCTGCAAATGAACTCAGGGGCTGGTTCAAAGCACAACTCGAACCGAGCCTCCAACGCTGTTGAGGCTCTCTTTCGGGTGAGCGGCAGAGCACATAGGCCAGCCTGACACTGAGTTATGGTCTGCATGCAAGTCCTGCTGGTGCATGGCTTGTCCCTCCTCACTTTGCTGCTCATCATGTGTAAGGATTCTTCGACCCCAGGTTCCCACTGCAGTTTTTCTGTTAGTCCGCTCCCCGAGGCTTAAACAGCCACCAGGTGGACAGTCGGAGGAACTCAACTACAGACATGAATTTTGGGAGGACACGACTCAAGCCCTGAGCCTTGTTGATTTACCTCCCTGTCTGTTACCTAGCTCCACGTTGTAACCCCATGAAACAGAGGCACTCTCTTGTGCATTACTACATTTTCAGCTCGAGACTGCCTAGGACAGAGCAGGCACAAGAGAACAAGAGAAACATTTGTTACTAAATGAATGGGGATAAAAGATAAATAAGACAAACCTCCTTTATCAAGTTCACAATTTAGCAAAGAACCTAACATAATGAGTGCCAGATTATAAACTGACCCAGTTTGTGTATCTTTAATTCCATTCCATGATGTACAGTATATTCTGTACCTATTATAATGAAAACAGGCTATTTATAGGAGGCCAGCAATCCTCATTGGCATAAATATTTATTTCTTAAGTGAATACCATTTGCAGTGTGACACAAATTTCAGCAGATGGTTTACACACCCTCTAGTGGCTGTAAGAATAGTTACTTCAGTATGTTTTTATTCAATGGCAATTGAAGTATTTCTGCTCTCATGTTAACTCACACCTAGAAATTTTAAAACTATTTCAGTCACGGTGCTATAGTTGACAGAAAACAGTATCTGCTTATTTGTTCAGCATTCAGAGTAGTCTTTTACTAACAGCAGGTGCCAGGAATTCTACTAGGTTTTTCTTCAAAATGCTCAGGTTTTCTGTCACCTATTAATTGACGCCCTGCTTCCCACTGCAAAAGATTCTCAAGCCTTTTCCCATCCACCATAAATTGAAAACAATCTGGTTTATCAAAACTGGTAAGAATAAATAAATGGATGTATGCTAAATCACTGCTCTTAAATGGATATATTATAAAAATTCATAAAAGATTTAGAAACTATTCTGGCTGCACATACAAGATAAAAGTTCTAAATAATACTGTTGGCATTTGGGTAGATTATAAGGTACAAACCAGATGATTCTGTCATGTGCTTTAAAAAATCAAAAAGAAAGCATTATTGATCTAGAAGCTACTAATATCTAAGCCGAATGATGCCTAAAAAAATACCAAAATTAGAAGAGCCATAAAACTGGTGACTTTGAAAGAGACATGACCACTACTCAATCCTATTCCCTTTCCAATTAACTTAATGTCCACTACAATAAAAATGACAATGGGATATGTTTGCCTACTTGTCCATAAGTCATAAATGACATTTTTCTGTCTGTACCTTAAACAGGCAGAAAGAACCTCAAGGAAGAGGGATTCTACAACTGGAGTAAATAAAGGAAAATTTCTTAACGTGGTTTGCAACGGGGTGAATTAAAGTTCTTAGTCTCCTTCTGTAGTGTGCACTGGCTGGTTCACTTCAGTTTTTAGCTATATTCATTTATAAAGTCGCCATGATTTCAGTGCATATCTGGAAAGAAAATTCTAGGCTCCACCCTGCCTCAATGTCACAATTATCGTACAGAGAACACTCTCAGTTCTGAAGAATAGATGCTAATAACCCAATTAACAGGAAATGATAAAACTCGGCTGCTTTAAAACAGTAAGTCAAAAACCATGCCCCATCATTTATCACAATTTATTCTTAAAACCATTGCTAAAAATGAAGAAAAAAAGTTATAGTCAAATTAAGAAGCCAACAAAATTTTTCTATCATGAAAGAGAAAAAATTTTAAATGACACTGAATAGTTAAATATTCAAAGTTTTAACCTCTTGATACGTAGTGAAATTTCAGCTCAGAGACCTTACTTAAACATTTCTTTGTGTATAGGAAGAATTTGCGGAGCCAGAAGACCCGGGTTACGGTCGTCTCTACTTAGGGTAAATCATACCCTACTGTACCTTATCTTCTTAATCTGTGCAAAGGATCTACAATTTCCATCTACCTCACAGGGCTGTTGAGAGGACCAGAAGAAGTAAAAGCACTTGAAAACTGGAGAGTACTTACCGATGCATAGTTTACTCAATGTTTTTGCTAATATCGCTAAAGTACTTTGGAATTTATAGTCAAGTATTTATAATATTCATCTTTTGTCTTTCTACAATAGTCAGCAAATTAAAGGCAAAATTGTTTTCCTAATAATTGCATATTTTACAAATATAAAACTATAGTTAATAATTAGCAATTTGGGTACATTTGAGATATTTAAGATAAATAAAATATTTTCCACTGATTACAAACTTCTACTCTTCTAGGTAATTCGATATCATCTGAAACAAGCTTTTGAAAAGATTCATCTGTAGGACGTAGGAAAAGGTACAATTAGAGCCCTCCTCTCCATAAAGAACAATATAAACATATAAGAATAGAATTCAGTATACATATAATAAAAGCTTATGTCAATACAGAAACTTATTCATTTCAAGATATCATTACTTCCCAATACACACCAACTGTATAATTTTAGATGGTCCAAACTATTTACAAATACTGGAGTAGAGACAAAGAAACTGATAATTAACCAATATTTTTTTAATGAGGGGGAAATTATCAAACGCACTCCTATAAGATATTACAAACACATCTAGGGACATAAGCAAAAACAATGCCATTCTAACAAACCTCAGAAGTGCCACAAAAATGTTAAAACAATTATTTCGGTCCAATTTTGGTATACGAGAATTTAACATACTTGATATTGAAATCCATATTTATAAAAAAATATAAATGAAAAAATAAGACTCTTGATCAAAACAAGTATTGTTCTCAGTAAGATTTCTTGAAATCAGCAACATCCTTAACGTACTTAGGATCATGCTTTTTGGGGGGAGGGGTAATGGACGAATGATTTGAATAAAAAGCTGAGTACTGAGGACAGCTCTACTGATGACAATATAACTCACTCCTAGCTCTAGCTCCCTACAGATAACACTCCAGAATTTTCTAGTGAAGGCACTGCTTAATTTTAATCTTCTCTCTACTGCCACTGTAAAAAGCTGATAAACTTGCAACAATTAGATTGTGGCATTCTGTGTGCTACATGAAAAAAAAAGATATATTTGTACCGACATCTGTGAAGCATCCTGAGGCCTTAATTGCGGAAACAATAATTTAGAGCAGTGGTTCTCAACTGGGGTGATTCTGCTCTCCCTAAAGAACATTTGGCAATGCCTGGACATTTTTGGTTGTCGCAACTAAGAGGGAGACGGGGTGCTACTGGCACCTAGTAGGTGGAGGCCAAAGATGTTGTTAAACATCCTGCAAAAGCACAGGGCAGTCTCTCACAAAGAATTATCTGACTCCAAATGTTAATAATGCTGAGGGTGAGAAATCTCAATTTAGAGGAATGTCTAAAAGTATACTATTCTCTAGAGCAGGGCCTCCTTTAACTTTCCTGTTTATTCGACTGTCAAAACCATGACAGTGGTTTTATCTCTGGATCTGGAATGCTGTCTACATGTTCTGTTGTAGAGTGTGTATATGAAACGGGCATCACAAACATACCGTATTTGGTATGTTTCACAAGAGAAATGGTTTCACAAGAGTCATCCTGGGCTTTGACTTTTGAGTTCTGTCACAATTAAACTGATCTCTTGCCAACCAGAAGATTTCATCTCGGTGAGAAAAAGCCCAGGGAAAAATGATACTCACACAATAAAAGCTATCTTTTGGGACGAAGGTCTTTTAAATGCCGACAAGCTATACAAGGGTCCCATCTTGGCAGCACTCTGTTGCTTCTGTTCAAAGGCCATCTAATCATTGCTGTATATCATTCTAATTAAGTGGGCTGGGCTGCCAAAAACAACTTTGAGTAATATCACTGGCAGATCAGTGAGTCTGATGTGAACACAATGTTAAACTGGGAGCATAATCCCTAAAAGCACGGCTGAAAAGCAGGTTCAAAGAAAAAAGAGGCTAAATAAAAGGACTCATCCTTCCTGCTCGGTCATGAACATGCACTTGTCTCTCTCCTGCAGATATAACTAGAAAAAACACTTTGGACAGCTTAGAGGCAAGAAATAAAAAAGGATTAGAAAGAGCTCCGATACAGATGTTCAAAGTCACTGTCTCCAAAAAAAAAACTTTCCCAACCAAAAACTGATGAACCTTCTTCTGTCTGTCTCTTTCCAACCTCTCAAACCTCACCGAAGACAAAACAGGACAGATTATCTGAGCCAACACTTACTTTTAGAGTTGAGAAATCTGTGTAAAACTCAGAGATCAGAGACTTGCTAATGTCAGGGCTAAAACTGAGGCCTCTAGAAACCCAGCTAAGTCCTTCGCCTTACCATATGACCTCTGCTAAGAATTGGTTCAGAATTCTCTGGATACAAATCTCTGATCCAGCCAAAAACAAAAATGAAGCCACCTCTCAGTGCTCTCATTAGACTCAACGATCAGAACTGCTTCCACACTCTTTTTTGGAAGGGTAAACACATACTGCATGGTTATCTGTTGATTGCTCACATCTCCTCTCCCAATCTCCTCTCTACTTTTTAGAAGAAATTGAAATTTTAAAGGAAAAAACCGAGAGTAACAATCAAAACTGGGCAAAACTACAAAAGTCTCAACAGAACATAACTGAAGGAAGACCTCGTGCCTTTGCAGGTCATTTTTTATCATCTTAATTACAAAACAAATAATTTTTTATCTAAATAGGGAATTCTGGCAGGCATTTTGCACATTTTAAGTTCTCGCAATAGTAATAAATACTCAGGATTTTTCCACTGTTTTCATTTATTGGGACTACATCCTACATATTTTCATGTCTTATCTCATTTAATCCATTTTACAGATGAGAAAATACAGGCTGAAAGGGGTTAAGTAACTAGCCAAGGCCACACGGCTAAGTGGCAGAGCTGAGTTTGGACTCAAGTCTGTCCAAATCCTGATTCTTTACCATTTCGCTGTACAACTACCAGTGATTCTGCCTGCCATCTACTGCAAATTTACATGAAAACCCATTTATCACACAATTACTGCACCTAAGAGTTAAAAGGAGTCTCAAGAAGACCCTGTTCCAGGCCCCTGATGCCTGGCAGGTGAGTGACGTGCCTCAAGTCAGAGACCTAGTTAGTGCTTCCAAAGGGACTAGGCCCAGGTGCCCTGCCTCCCAGCGTAGCTCCTGCCTACCAGCCTGCCCAGGCAAAACGGGAGACAAGACCATGAGGGGCATGGAAATCCACCCTTTATCCACAGAAAGGTAAGATAGCATTTACTCTAATGCCCATCTGAGAACTACAAGCAGAAGAACTAGATGTTAACACTGCTGCTTGGGGAACCTGCTCATAGTTAACACATCAACAGTATTTCTAACATGATTGAAAAAGCTGTAAATGATATTCTAGTGAAAGAAATTCACATCCAATCTATATAAATTCATAGTGCAAAAATTCAACCCAGTCGCAATTACTAAATTCTCAATTAGTCAGGTCTGGATTCATATTTTTATCTCTATCAGGTACTTGTGGTCTTGATTTGTTGTCTCTAAGTATCCTTTTTACTTGTTGTTAGTTCCCTGGTGGTCTAGTGGCTAGGATTCAGCATGTTCACTTGTATCCAAGTATGATTTTACACTTGCTCCAATAAATTTTTTTGTGGAACTATTTTTATGATTTATTGAGATTATTTTAAGCTTTATACTGGCCTCTCAATAAAAAATTGTCCTGAATACACATTGAAGAGTCTATAAAAATAATTTATCGAGGGTTGAAGGTGGCCCTGGAAAAGCAGCAAAGAACCATGTTAAGGAACTTACTGTTAAGACCTTCGATAGTTATGACTTAATAAAATAGAAAGGAACATATTTCTAGTTTTGTTTTCTCTTTAAAGGCCAAAATAAAACTGACAAGAAAAACTGACAGATCTCTCACCAGTAAGATGCCATAAAGTGTCGAAGAAAATTTTTAGGAATTTGCAGCTCTATATAAATTGTAAGTTACTTTTTATATACTCTAAGCTAATTGTGTGAAAAACTGAAAGTTAGTTGAAAATTCCTAAATCAAAAAGACAAGGTTTTGCAAGTATTCTATTCCCTTAAACCTTGCTTGGCCAAATCATCCCTAAAATCAAGTATCTCAAAAAGCATTTAATTGGAGCTTACCTATAATATGATCTTTTAATTGTTGCAAATCAGGAGGTATAAACAATCCTTCTAATACAAACAATTCAATACAACCCAGTGAAGCCTTGGGAACGGGAGGAGATATGAAAGACAGGTACCTCGTAGTTTGAGAGAAAATCTAGTAACTCTGATTGAGATGGGATGTACAGAAGTGGTTTCATCACCCGGCGGACAAACTTCTCAATGTAAACAGCACTCATGGGGCCTTTGTATTCGATTGGTCCAAAACTAGTACCAAAAAATAAAAATAAAAAATAAAAATAATTCACCATGCATTAAACCTGTAATGTATAACTGAAATCATCAACACCACAAAATGAAAATGTCCTGCTTTAGGATCCTGACTGGTGCATAGGTAAGCAGCCTTGTCTCAGGAGGTGACCCAAGGGCCAATTAAGAAGCATTTTATGTAAGGAGAGGGTATAAGCAGCCATCACAAGTAGTCTCTGAAAAAAGAATTCCCACAATATTTCCTTAAAAAACAAAAATAGAAAGGTAACCTTGGAAACTAAACAAATGCTAAAGGATTCCAGGATCCGAACTACATGATTCAATGCCAGGGACAGACTTTCCTTTTCGTGTCACTCTGAAATAAGGGACGAGGTGAGCAGCTGACCTTCAGTCTACTAAAATGGAGTTATTATCTATTCCCATTATTACACAATGGGTCACTAAGTGAACCTTAAACCTATTTAAAGCTTTATTGCAACAACAACAAAAAATTATGTGACAGTACCAAGTCAGGGGCCTGTATAAACGATTTCCTTATTTTCCACTCCAGATGTACTTGGGGATGCACAGGAATTTGACTTAGGATTGCTAAGCAATACCACCAACATTCAATTATCCTCCTAAGCTACTCAGAATCCTCACGTAGCTTTTTCAATCCTGCACACTACAGACACTGCTCAAATATAATGGGATGGTATGTGGTGGGGGAGGATATAAGCTGGAATTCAGCAACTCCATAACCATTCTTCTCTCTAAAAAGAAATTGATATTAAGCTTACTGTTAATTGCAACAACAGACAGAGCACAGTAAAGAATCGTACAGCTGCTATGGTCACAATACTATAATATATGATTATGGAAATTAACACACACATAATGTGATCAGATAAACACAATTCTTCAGTGTGCACTGCAGAATATGATGTCAAAGGAAGATAAGCATGAAAAAAGTAAAAATAGCATTCTACATACACAACTGGGAGACAGAGTTAACAATTTTATATTTCAAGACTTACTACAACTACTTGATTACTAATTCAAGTTTAAAAATTACCGCCACCACCAATTTTTAATTTAAAGGAAGAAATCAAAAAAATTATCTAATAATTTATTTTATTTAGCAAAAAGGAGCTATCAATCTGGAAACCTCGTCTACTCAAGCAAACGGACTCTGCTGAGTTTTTCTGGCATGATGTTACGAGGGTCCCAATGACTTGTAATGAGAAGATCCCAGATTGCGGGAAAGGGAACATGTTTTTCAACACACTACAGCCATGGCTATAGGACGAGCTGACCTAGGGCTGCTGAGCCTGGTATAGTATTCTGAGAACTACTCCCTGCTTCGGAGCCTTTTATAAACTGTTTCTAACTGGTATCAATATAAGCTAAAAATGGAATCTACTTTCATAAAACAGAAAGGCCTATTAATTTCTTTAAGCAGCTAAAGCAATAAACAAATACAAACAACAGCAATGCACACAACTGCAGTGGCCTGCTCAGTGATGAGACTTGAGGGCCACATTTACAAGCACATTAACCAAAAGAATCTCAAGACTACCAAATGCTCACGAGACAGTTTAGTTGAAGGAATACACTCATTTATAAAGGGCTTGAACATTTTTAAATAGAATATTAAAAGGTATCTTTAGAATATTTCTGTGCCTTAGCACTTACGTTTTTGGTACACTTGGAATGACACATGTTAAAATGAGTGTTAACAGGTCGGAACAGACTAAAAAAAGTAAAATTTTAACAGGTAAAGATGAGGGGCAAGCACCTCGAGATGAGAACCAACCTCAGACTCCTCAACTGTAAACTGAGAGCGATGGACTAGAACTTTATAAGGTCCTTTTGTGTCCTTTCAATCTTTCTATAAAACTAAGAAAATGGACAATGTAAGACAATATTACACACCCACATATCCCAATGTGATGTTCTATACTCGATACAAGGGAATCATTCTGATTTTAATGTCACATTAAGTTAAGCCCACCTCTGGGCAGCTGGCTTGGTTATACGTAATTGTAAATCATATATGCCCTGCTGGGCATCTGTGCCCTATTTCCTATTTCCAAAAAAAAAGAAATACAGGGACATTCACAGGGCAAGCTCATCATATCGCCACAGAGCACAGAGTTTTAGAACCTTCAAGTATAATACTTTACACTTACCATAAAAACAAAAGAAATAACCATGAGATAGTTACTCTGAGAAGGTATTCATATATCTAGAGGAACATGTGAGGGTGGAGATGGGGTAGAAAAGTGTGTTTTTTCCCTGAATACTATTTAATAGCTCCTGAGAAGCAACACTGTGCCACACAACATTTTATGTTAGAGACATGAGAAATGTGATGGAATGTGACAAATAATCCACAAGTGACAGTTTGTTGATGTTTGTTACAAATCTCCATTAAGGCCTAGGAAGTTTAGAGGGAGAGAAAAAACAAAGCCTAAGAAAGTAAAGTTCTTACAAATCACATCTTCTTTACCCATTTTACCTTCATTAACAAACTTTGAGCTAATTATTACATTGAACCAAGTCCAAAATCCCATCTCCTGTCTCCAAAATCCTTCAGGTCAAATTTTAGACATTCCTTACTAGTAAGCATGGTCTGAGCAGTACTCCAAAATCAAACACCAAATTTCTGCAGCAAAATGGATAAAGTGGTACTTTAAGTGGGCTAAAGACTACAGGCAGCCTCTTGTTACTTCAGGCCAGATGAATACATTTTGGGACAAAATATGAGTCTTTCAGGTTTTCAGAGCTTTTTAGATTTCAGAATTATGGATACAGGATAGTAAATTTGTAGTAATTTTCTTCCCAACTGAAAAAATGTGAAGATACCCTCTTGATTATGTTATCCTGCTAGTTAACAGGATAAAGACTTTTATAATTTTTATACCATAAAACACTTTCAGAATATCTGAGATTAAGAGCCATACAATGGGGTAACTGGTACTGTTAAAAACAATGTTGTAGAATATGTAATGACATGAAAAGATGTTCACAATAGTAAAAAAAACAGTTTAGAAAAGAGTATTACTACATGATGTTTTTATTTTATTTTTTTAAAGGGGGGATATAAATCGAAACACACAGGGATTACATATGGCTGACAAAATTATCTAGATCCTTTTATTTATTTTTGCTTATCTGTATTATCTCAATTTTCTACAGTGAACATCTAATACTTTTAAACAGAAAAAAAATTCACTTCAAAATCGATAAACTTAGTTGGAATTAGAAATACTACTTAAAAGTTCTTACCTTCGATGATACAGATATATTACAGGAAAATAAAAGAAATGCTTCTGTTTTCTGCATTTCCCCTGGTTCCACCAACAGTTAATTGCCACAAACAACACCTGCAGAGCCAAAAAAGGTTTCAAATGACTATGAATAACAACTGAAAAACTACCAAGATCTAAAAGATAAAATTATAGATATGGAACTATTCCTCTATGAAACAGAAAATATAAAAAAAAATTGTTTCGAGAATTCAAAAAAGGTCATCATTGACTGCTATATTAAAAAAGAAAGACTCTTATCTATAGTGTCTAGCTAGGACTGTGAATATTTTGGAGTCTGGCCCAAGAGGAAAATAATTTGCTTTGAATCCTAAAGTGAATGAGCACCAAAGAGCTTTTTCTAAGAATGTCTACACTAAAATTTAGTAAAAAGATGTCTTTTGATAGTCAGACTGAGCATCTGAGAATGAAAAAATGTTACCTACAAATAAAACATGACAAATTTCAAAGGACCATTTTTAATGACTAGATTAAAAACTAATAAGATAACTAGATTAAAAACTAATAAGATGATTAAAGCTATTTTCTACAATGTAGTACTGAATAGCAAAAATATGGAATAAGTAAATATTTATAGGTGGACACTGAAGTATTTAAGGGGAAGTGTCTCTATGTCTGTAATTTACTTTGAAATGTACCAAAAAATAGTAGATAGATTGGAGCAGTTTCTTAATTTTGGCAGTATTAACATTTAGGGCTTGAACTGTTATGGGTTCATTTGGGTTGTTTATTGTTTTTTTTCATTGTTATGTTTGTTTTGTTGTGGGGGGCTGTCCTACACAATGGATGTAGGATGTTTAGCAGTATCTCTGGCCTCTCTACCCACTAGATGCCACTAGCGTCCCCCTCTCAAATACTGACAACCAAAAAAAAAAAGAGTCTCTAGACATTGTCAAAGGTATACTTGGGGACAAAACTCTAGTTGAGAACCACTGATTAGAGGAATGTTAAGATAAATACATGATAAAACAATAAAAAGCTAACAGTAGGATTTAAGTGGTTGAATATATGTAAAATTGCTTCATCTTTGCTATATGTTTAAAAATTTTTATAACAAAGTCTTGAAAAATATGAAGACTACAAATAAAAAGTCACTTTCAGATGCCTTATACTTACTAGATAGCACTATTGCTCAAACTTAGTGGAAACTCTTTACAGCTCCTTTTAGAGTCTATGAGAAAGAAAAGCAACAATATCTTTACCTAAAGTTGATACCTCATTTTTTTACTCAAAAATAGGACACAATCTACCACGTTTGCTAATTTTAATAAGCAATGTGGCTCAAAAGATTTTTGCCTGTTTCCAAAAATAAACCCACTCCTTTGCCCTTCTGAGAACACAGAACAATTAAGTTCTGAATTTGAAAGGAGCTGGGGAACATTTTTGAAAAAAGCAGTGCCCGTCAGTTGTTTATGGCACTATGACCTCCACCACTTGTGTCATCTTTTAACAAACCACTGTGCCCTCTGAGCCTGATGTCCTGCTTCAGAAACAGGGACACCGGCATCTGCTTGGAGAGCGATCTTGAGGCACAGCACAGGGCCAGGCAGGCTCAAATACTATTCCTATGTAATCGCTCTGGAGAACATACTGCTTAAGTTGACAACGAGATAACAAGGAATTGACACCTAAAATAGAATTGATTCTCCCCTTGTTCCCCACATGTTCTCTAAATTCAGAATGACTGACAAGGTGATGATTTCCTTTATGCTAACATACTACTTGCCTCCATTAGATTCTCGTTTCCTCCCTAGATGTGTACACCAGTTTGGTTACTATTTGCCATTTAAAACTGGGGTGGGGGGCAGTAAAGGAGAATAGATCAAAACCATGGGCCCACGGTTAGAACACAAAATCACAACACTCCTCTCCAAAAAAAATAATCGGTTTTATATGGAATGAAGACTTATATTTAAACAGTACTTGGTACTACATCCAGGCATACGTAATTATTAAAAATGCTGTGTAGGAAGCCTAGCCATCATTTAGAACATTGTTTCTAAAAGCCAACTGAGAGTCCCAAATGAACTCTGGAACTTGGCTGCCTGCAGAAGTAACCTCAAATCAGTGGTTCCCAGCAGCAGCCTCTGTGGGATGCTTTTCTGCAGGAAGCAATGACTGGGGGGAGGCTACAGGGCATGTGGTAGGCAAGGGATCTGGTACATACTCGGCATCGCTCAAAACTGCTCTGCACAGGGAAGAGTCATCCAATCATCCTGGAGCAGATCTAAATGCTCTGCCCAACTCTGATGTTAGAGAAAACCTGTTTGTTATTACTCAAGCCCAGAACCTAACTCCACTTTGTATGTGAAACCAAAGCATGTTTTTTGTGTTCACTGAATTTCTCAGACAGCAACATGTGTCAATTGAGGGCAGAAAGTGCTTTGTTTGGTTCAGAACCTTACCAAGAGCTGTTCACTGTTTAGAAAAATCAAAGCACCGAGAGCAATGCCCCTATGCTATCTGAGTCCAATACATCACATCTTTATCAGTCCACATTTCTAACGGTCCCATACACAGTAGCTCTACATAAAGGTACAAGGACCTATTTTGTCCAAGCATTTACAGATTGAAACACATGATTTAATTACACACTACTTTTCCTCCCCCTCCCCACATTTATGTTACAATTAGTACATTAGATTAACTATTTTGAAATTATATCTGTAGTGAAGTTTTCTCATCTATGAATTCTTTTTCAGGACAGAAAAAGGAGTAAATATAAAATAAATGTTCTATAAAGAGCAACTAGGATCCAGTGGTTTTGAAACCACTGCCATACAGATGGCTCATTTGCCTATATATCCTTCTTCTCTAGCACAAAGACTGCATTCATTAAATATTTGTTGAATATAGTTCTGGTCCAAGTACAGGTTATTTAAAAGGTTGGTGTGCTATACTGTAGTCATTATGTATTAAATGTCTCCTAAATAAAATATCTATATCAAATATCAAAGGGAAATATCAAAAGGAGATTCAACTAGGACTTTCGGTCCCTTACTTTAGCAATGAAACCAAACAGCATGACCCCTGGGATGAGCACTGGCCTATGTCATGAGATGCAGAGTCTAATACCACTCCTGCACTAATCAACTATGACCATCACAATATGAAATCCTGGTTCTTTAAAGAAGGCTTTACAATTTACAAAGTGCTCCTGGCCTTCACCATGGCAAAATCAGCCATCTGGGTAAGGTGTCCCTGCAACATGACTGATAGTCATCTGATTCTTAGGCCAAATGTCAGTATTACCTGGTCTGAAAGCTGACTCGCTGCTTGCTCAATTTCTGCCCTGGCAGCGATGGACTGTCCACACCACGGGGCATAGAAGAAGAGCAGAACCACCTCCGAATCCCGGCGAACATGCTCTGCGTAGTCCAGCTGACCCTGGAAGAGGTCAAGAACCGGAGACCTCGAGGAGAAAAAGCTGACAGGTGGCTTTGCTGGTAATATCACATCTTTTGCTCGACTAAAAAAGAGCAAACAAACAAGATCGCTAAGTTTTCTTCTTCTAACAATACCATCACATGGAAGGAGAACGAAGCTTGAAAGTCTTTTTTTGAATAAGGAAATGGAGTCCCCAAAACACTGTCCTGGAGTAAAAAAGTAACATTCTGTGCTAAGGGAACACGTGGCTGCGAATGAAAGACACGAATAACATGTTGGAAACTGTTCTAATACTGTCTCCTCAAGAGCAGGAAAAGTATGTCTTTGAATAATCCATATTCTTGCCTCCACACACAAAAGACTTATCCTCAGCTCTTAGCAACCTTGTTCTCCACAGAAGCCACTGATCAGCAGAATGTCAAGAGCCACCCGTAAGCTCATTAGAATTAAGAGGAGGGAGCACATGTGGCTACCGCTAATAAGATTTCTATGGGAAATGCTTATAATCAACTCAACTTTGAAAAAACTTTTAAGTGTATGAGCTGGAGCTGGCCTGTGCTTATCCAGGGCATTCAGGCAAATGTAATAATTAAATAATAATACAGATTTCACCAGATATATATCATAATCCAAAGGTTAATGTAGATGAGTGACAGAGCAACAGCCCATTTAACTAGAAAACAGGCTTCCTGAGTATCTGAGGTTCCCAGAAGGGAGAGGTCAGGAGAAGAAAGAAAATTGAACAAATGGTCTGAAGTCACAGAGCTGCCACAACTTCCCCCAGCGAAGACAAAAAGGTCTTGGCTGAGGCCGCATCCCACTATGTTAAAGGAGCCTAAAAACACCTTGAGCTGTCCACATATCTGCACTAACATGGCATAAAACCATCATAGCAGTTTAGCTAAGAACTCAACAGAGGAAATAAAAATTGAACTCTAAAAAATAGTCTATTAACCCAAAAGAAGGCAGAGAAGGACCAAGAAAGGGACAAAAACAGAAGGTACAAATGGGAAACGAATAGCCAGAAGGTAAACTTAAACCCAACCATATCAATAATTACATTAAATGTAAAAGGACCAAACCACCCAATTAAAAAGAGACTGCCAGACTGGATAATGAAGCAAGACCCAACCATATGCTATATGAAATAGGCACATTTTAAACATAAAGACATAGACAGGATGAACGCATATGTATGAGGAAAGATAAACCATCTAAACAGTAAGCATAAGAAAGCTGAAGTAACTCATTAAGTGAAAAGATAAACTACAGTATACTCTTACAATTAAATGTTACTCAGCAATAAAAAAAGAACTGATGCATACTATAATTGGATGAGCCTCAAAAAAATTACACTTAATGAAAGAAGTCAGATGCTAAGGAATACATAAACTATAAATACATTTTTATGAAATCCCAAAACAGGCAAAACTAATCTATAATGAAATAAATCACATCAGTGGTTGTCTAGAGTGGGGAGTAGGGCAGAGACTAACTGCAGAAGGGTGCCAAGAAAATTTTCTGGGGAGAAGAAATGTTTTATATCTTGATTGAGAGAATGGAGGTGGTTACATTTGTCCAAAGTCATTGACCTATACACATAAAATGTGTGAATTTTACTAAATGTGAATTATACCACAATTAAGTTAATGAAAAAAAGCCTGGCTAGTGTGTCACCTCAGTAAGGCTTGCTCTGATGGCTCCACCAGAAGCAGGTAGCCCTCATTTTTTTCTCTAAGCTCCTTCATGGTTGCTTTCATAGCCCTCACCAAAATCTGTTACTTATTTTACCCGTTTATTATCTATCTACTCTGCCAGATCATTAAGTCCACAAGGGTAAGAACCCTATCTTTTGTACTGTTAGAACCTCATTGTTTAGAAGCTCCTGGTACTCTGAAGTTCAATAACTGACAAAATGAACAAACCTACCCCACTTACCTCACCTGAACATATGTGAAAGGAAATTAAATATAAATCCATAAGACATATTATTAAGAACAGTCTGGAAGTATCAAAGTGCCAGAAAACCCATTTGCTTTACTAGGGATAATTCTAAGGGCCACCTAATTACGTTCTAACTCAGTATCTCCATATCTCCAGGTTCCACATACATGGACTAAAAATATTCTAAAAAAAAAAAAAAAAAAATTTAAAGTTCTTTTTTTATTGTCCCTGACATGTACTACATTGTAGTTAGGCCTATGATGGTTGCACCTGTACTGAACAAGTACAGACTTTTTTTCCTTGTCTTTATTCCCAAAACAATACAGTATAACAACTATTTACAGAGCATTTACATTGTATTAAGCATTGTAAGTACCCTAGTGATGACTTAAAGTACAAGGAGGATGTGTGCAGGTTATATGCAAATACTGTGCCATTCTGTATAAGGGACTTCAGCATCTAAAGATTTGGGTAGCTGAAGGGGGTCTTGGAACCAATCCCCCCACAGATACCGTGGGAAGCCTATGGCAGGAAGGAGGAACACGAAAGGTGCTGCCAGCTCTGAGATATGTAGCAGACAGCCCGATACTTAGAACCAAAAAAGAAAACATATAAACACCCAAGACCTAGAGTCTTGGTCATATAATATGAGAGAGAGTTCCACATCCTCCTCTGCATCTAGGTGTTAGCTTCCTAAATTAAGAAGACAGTTTTAAATACATTACTTCCCTTTTTTAACCAAAAATTATTAACATCATAAAGTAGTGGTGTCAAATGGTGGAGCATCTCTTTATTCACTCAAACTAACATTTTAATCCTCTAAACAGGGAGATTTGTCTATGTAAAACATCTTCACGACATGAAAAAGTCAAGTCACTTCACGGTAATTCAAAAAAACGTTCACTGAGAAAACCTTATTGTGCTTCAGGTACTGTACTAGGTACCAAGGTGACAGCAGTGAGCATGATATGCTCTCAAAGGGCTTACTTTCTCAGAGAGGAAGACAGGCAACCAAACATGTAAACAACAAATAACAACACAAAATGATCACTGCTCTGTGGGAAATTTAACAAGGCGATGTGACAGGGAACCTGGAAGCTCCTCTGATGGGCTGGTGGTCAGAGTGGTACCTTTTAAATGGAGATCTGAATGACAAGAAGACAGCCATGCAAAGAGGTGAGGAGGACCCTGTGGCAAGAGTGACACAGTTTCAAGAACTCCAAAATTCTGCCCTTTGGAGGTATTATTTTTCTACTATTCCAATTGCATATTAAGTGTCAAATAATGCAATCTGGAAATGTAGGTCTGTGACAGCCAAAGGATAATCGTCAACTTAGTACTGCTGCTTTGCATGTTCGGAGCAGTCCCCTAAACGAGCCAGATATAATGTGTGGCCCATCAAAAAGCAAAAAGAGAAGACAGACAAATACCTCTGCTCCATCAGAAACATTCAATTTCCATTTAACTCTTCAATGTGCTAAACGTTTTTGAGAAACTATCCCTAGATCAAAGATATCCTGGCAGCTTTCAGGTACAAAGAAAACTAAAAAACTGGCTGCAAACAGTTGCAGACCTGCAACTCCCAATTTTTGTATGAGATTTATACTCTACACCTCCTTTCCAAAAGGATCTGAAGCAGCTGTGAAATTACAAAATGCAATAAAGGAAAAGGAACATATATACACATGCATACAGATTAGATGCACACACAATTTTTCCCTCCAAATCAAGATAAAAGGAAAATGAGCAAGGCAAAGTCATGGAGATTCAATGCACAGAAAAGCAGGTAGCATAGAGATTAAAAGCCCAGAAACGCACAATTATTAGTTATGTTTCAACCCCAAATCAACCTTTTTTATGCTATCTGGTTTGAACTCAGCTAAGCAGCAGACACTGAAGAGGACTCTCATTTATTTCAAGCCTGGAGCTATTAACGCAAATTAAATTTTAAAAAATCCTACTCTCCCTTAAGTCTCTGTCTTCGTTAATGCAACGATCTTAAAAAGTGAAATGGGAAAAATGGGCCAGAAATGTTCGAGTCAGTTGTACAGCAATAAAATAGTATCATGACACCATTCAATCAAACAGGACTCAAAAAAATCAATCTGAGTCTATTAAAAGACTGTCAAATTTGCCAGTGACACAGAAAGGAGTTGGATAGGCACCCTGGCTCATTCTCCTAACCTGAAGCAGGTAGTGCTCTGCGTGCTCTCGTATCTGGATTTACGCTCCTCCTTCTTGAAATCTCATAGGACTTTCATATCTATTGTCATGTTCTCTCAGAACACACACTAACGGTTATTTCCAAAGATAGGCTAAAGTCAGTAAGCTCCCCACTCTTATACGGCGAAAACACTTCTCCTTCCTAATATGAACCCAAATGCCACCTTGAAAGTACTCTATCTTGTAAAATATTTTGTGTATTTTCCTTGATAAAGATGATAAACAGCAAGGTTAAAAGTCTTGTACCTGACAAGGATTCACATTAGAGCTCAGACACTTAATAGGTGTGTATGATTTGTGACAAGTTTTGTAATATGACCAAGCTCACCTCCTCTATCTATAAATTGGACGGATAAGAGTATATCCAGATTTTACTGGAGATCGAGATTGAAATGATCCATACTAGGCTCTCAGATTCGGTGTTAAATGAATAAATGCAGTCATGTAAGCTGTAGTTCTCAAGCAGGCAATTTTGCAGGGACATTTAGCAGTATCTGGAGACATTTTTGGTTGTTACATCTGGGAGGTGTATGCTACTGGTATTTAATAGGTACAAGCCAGGGATGCTGCTAAACATCCTAAACGATGAACAAGAGAGTCCCCCACAACAAAGAATTATCTGGCCCAAAATATCAACAGTGTCAAGACTGAAAAACCCGGCTGGTAGTACAGCACCTGGCACATGGCAAATGCTCAATGAAATAGTTATTCTAATTTGTTCTCTTTCAAGTAAAATCCCCCATCTTTTGACCCCTCTTTGACAGTATGGGCCACACACTGTCCTTAACATACTCAATAAAAATGTTCCAAGTGGAAATCTTCCTCGTGGCTAATATACCAGTCAGCAGCAACACAGACTTATGAACTGGAGTCCCAGGAGGTACTCTGTGGATTTGGGAGGCCAAAAGTACTCCTGAAATTTAAAGTAAATTTTGTATTTGTATACTTTCTCAAAGACAGGCACACTGACTTTAATTTTTCCTGCTCATCATGCACCAGCCTACTCAGGCCTTCCTAGTTCCAAGAAAATACCAGGCTTGTCCAGCCCAGGGACCTTTGCACTTGCTGTTCCCTCTACTTTGGACACTCTTCCCCTAGATTTTCCCAATGATGCTGGCCCTTTACCCTTCTTGTGTAAGCTTCTCATGTGGCTTCCTTAGGAAAGCCTTTCTGCCTCACCCTCATTGCTTCTATTTCCTGTACAGTATATACAGTACAGTTTGTTTACTGCCTGTCCGACCCACCGGAATGGACAGCAGAAACTTTTATCTTCGCCGCTCACCTGGATGAATGGTCCCAAGAGGGAAGGTGCGGATAAAAATAATCGTTAGATCAATGAGTGCATGGATCTTCAACGGGATCTGGGACTCTAATGGTTGTGAATCACTACACTCGAGGCATAAGGGAAACCAAGTGTGATAAATTAGGGTACTACAGCCTGGGCAGAAGTGACAGGTGCGACCCCAAGAAACCCCAACTGAGCAGCTCAGAACCTGGCCCACCTCCCCCGGTAATAAATGGGATGAAGGGGCTCCGAGCAGCACGGGAAAATCTTGCCATATGACTGGCTGGCCGGTCAGGGAAAGGGAACTGAGGCCGGCATTGCCACAGGCTGGGGGAGGGTCAAGTCCCTCGCTCCCAGCAGTCAAGCCTGACTTTTCCCGGCGGGAGCCGCTACAACCCCTGACCCGGCCACGCGCTGCCGGCCAGGCCGGGGAGCGCCGGGCCGGGGACCTAGGGGTGCGGGCCGCCTCACCTGCAGGTAAACTTGAGGGCAAGGAGCAGCGCGCATCCGAGCGCCACCGCCCCGCAGAGCAGCTCGGGCCGCCGGCGTGCCATGAGGGAGGCGCCACGCAATCCGCGACGGAGTCGGCCCGCCGAGGACACTCCAGTCGGGACCGGGCTGAGGGAGCCGGAGCCCGCGGGGCCTCCGCCGCCGCCACCCTCGTCCTCGGCGTCGTCGCCGCTGCTGCTGCTGCTGCTGCTGCTGCCGCCGCTGCCGCGGCCTCCGCATTCCGACATTACATGCTCCCCGTCGCCAGCTTTATACCTCTGCAGCCACTGCCGAGGGCCAGAGGGCCCGGGCCGGCTTGTCGCTCCCCAATCCCGCAGCTCGCCGCGCCCGCTAACCGGGACGCTCCACGTCAGCCCTGTGGCCGCCGCGGCTCCGCCCCCAAGCAGGCGGCCCCACCCCCTGCCACAGAGTCTGCGCGGACGCTGACACCGCCCGGAAGCCCCGCCTCCGGAAGGCGCGCCCCCTCACCCACGGAGTTTGCGCGGTTTACCTCCCCGCCCGCTTCTCGGGCGGGCCCGGCCCTGGGTCTACAGAGTCTGCGCAGGCGCCGCGACGAGCGTGTGACCACGCCCACTCTGGGGCCCGCCGGACGCGGAAAGGCGGACCCTCGGAAGGCGGGGTGTCCCATCCTAGCCCACTGGGTTTTAAGAGCCGTGTTGATGATAGAACACGTGCCCACTAGTCTCACTACAGGCCGCGGAGGACATAGATGTCTTTTATTATCCCCACTTAACGGAAGGAAAACGGATGCAAAGGCAAGAAGTGTCCAAGGACCCAGGAATGAGACGGAAACCATCACTCGACCTCGGTTTGCACGTCTCTGTAAAATGGGGTATTAGCAATATCTCTCTCGCAGGGTTGTTTTGAAGATTAGATGAGGTAATTGATGGAAAGTGCCGGGCCCATAGTGAGTGCTCAGTAAAAGCTTAGTTACTGTTGTCTCCCAATGTCAACGATCTGCATCAATTAAGTGCTGTATGACTGAGGACCTTCTCCCTACACTGGAGCCCAGGGAGGAGAATCTATGCTGCCTGTACTAGTTTTACCGACGGGGAAACTGAGGCTTAGACAAGTCACTTGACCGAGGGAGGCCACAAAGCTAGTAGGTGAGAACTTGAGACAGGCAGGCCATCCTGGCTGAGAAGCCACTCCAGTGACTCATTGCTGACTCTAAATCTTCCCTGACTCTAAATGTTAGGTCCTTTCTAAGTTTTGTGATTAAAAGGGACAAGTCAGTGAGGGATGAAATGGGATTTGAGAGTGCCAGGAATCATTTCCGTGGGAGAGGGACAAGTGTCCCTGGGGCTGAGTGAATGTCCATAATTACACAACTGCTGGGGCCAGCAGATAAGACTTGACTTCACTAGAGCAAATAAAACAAACCAAGCAAATAAAACTCTGAGAGAACTAAGGCAGTTTGAGGCCAGGCAGAAAAAAAAAAAACAAAGTATGACCAAGAGCCAGAAGCTAAGGTGAGGGTCATACCTCTGTCACAGGTCAGCTTGGCAGCTCTGGTACAAGGTTTCCAGAAAGATAAAATACAACTGCCAATGGCTACCTTGCTAGATGGACCAGAGCATTCAATGGGTCAACCTACACTTGTCATTTTGCTATTTGTCTTCTATATCTTTTGTCTTTTTTGTTCCTTCTTTTCTTTTTTGTTCCAAGTAGATTCTTTTGTTCCAAGTAGATTCTTTCTAGTATACCATTAATTCCTTTAATGATTTTAAAATTTTATTATATTCTTAGTGGTTGCTCTAGGCATTACGATATATTTTTTTAGAATTTCTACTTCAGATTTATACTAACTTAATTCCAATTAAGATATAGAAACTGTGCCAACATAGTTCTGTTCTCGCCTCTTTTTTGTGCTATTATTACTCTTTTTGTATGTTATATTACAAACCCAATAATACAGTGTTGTTTTATATAATCTGGTTTAAAGAAGCTAAAAAGAAAAAAATATATTTCTAGCTTTTCTATTTATACTAACCTTATTTACCATTTCTAGTCCTCTTGATTTCCTTGCATAGATTTGTTACATGGTATATTACTAATGAAAACAAATATGGTCAAAAGTCACCAGTTCTCATTCACAGTAGTTTGCTAAGACAACTCTACTTCCATAAGACACCTGTCATTTGCACAGGCCTTTATAAGGTTCAAAGTACCTGTGCTGCCTGTGGATTATCTTGTGAAGCCCACAATACCTGTGGCAATGCAGGGTGGCGTCTTACAAGCCAAGAAACCATCTGGATGGTTCTTTTCCTCTTCTCTTTCTAGGCATCTGGCTGCTGCTCTAGTACCAGAACATTCTGAAACAATGATAAATTCATTTCAGACTACACCACGCCATCAGGGTCAGGCTGTACTATTCTTCAAGGCTAGGTCAGCCCTAACTTGTCCACATCAATCAGAATACAAGCTTTTGTGGCCACTTTTTTTATACCATGATGAAGCTGGTGGAGTTTGAGTAGGGGGCGAGAGGAAGATTGTAATTATTAATCCTTTCTTAGAACTAGAGAGAAATAACTTTCATTCGTTTGTAAAGCTTGCAAGCATTTACTTACCAATTGGGGTGTGCCTAACAAGGCAGGTGATGCAGAGGGAAACCCAAGCCCTAAGCCTGGGTATTCTGGACAGTGGCGGCTGTGTTTCTTTGAGACTTTGTATCAAGACTACAGAATTAGCTTTCCAAACATTGGCATTCATCCTTTGCAAATAACAAGAGGCCAACTAAAGAGTATTTGGAACTTGCACTAACTGCTGGGGGAATGTGTTCTTCAGTTTCCCAATAGATGCAGGTCCCTGGAACTAAGTGGAAATGAATGTCAAGAAAGAGCAGACAGTCCAGGGAAGGGCGTGGGTGATGGAGAGAAGCAAGCACCTTCAGCACCAGCCTGCCTGCCTGCCCAGGGTGCCTCCGTCACAGGGTGGGAGGACTGGGGAGAGGATAGAGTCCCTGAGAGCAGCAAGGACCCAAATATAACCTCCCAAAAGCCTCTCCAGGGATGACAGGGGCAGCTCATTGCAGCCAACAAAACTTGCACGTGAATATTCATATTTCCAAGAGCCAAAAAGTGGAAACAATCCAAATGTCCATCAGCAGAGGAATGGATAAACAAAAGGTGGTATATCCGTTAACAGTATTATTTGGCAGTTAGGAATGAAGCGCTCATACCTGCTAACATGGATGAACCTTGAGAATATTATATTGAGTGAAAGATGTCTGTCACAAAAGGCCACATAGAGTATGAGTCCACTGATACGAACTGTCCAGAGCAGGAAATTCATACAGAAAGCAGATCAGTGGTTGCCCATGGCTTGAGAGGCAGGGGAAGAAGGTAGACTGGTGTGTGTTTTCTCAGGGAATGAAAATATTCTAAAACTCACTGTAGTAATTGTAACAGGATATTTGAAACAGACTAAAAATCACTGAATTGTACTTTAAAATGGTAAAAGTTTTGTTACGTGAACTTTTACCTCAATTTCTTAAATATTGGGGGGAAAAAATCCATCTTGTAGAGGTAAACATGTTCAAGGAGACATGCCGATGATTACCGTTTCCCCTACTATCACTACTGGAATTTTGCTCTTCGTGCTCACCCCACAGCCTCATCACACCACTTTCTCCTCCTGCAAAGTTATCCATTCACTTCTAGGATGGGGATGTGACTTCAGCGTGGAATAATTAACATTGACTTCCTAGTGCTGAGACCAAGGCTGTGGCAGTTGGGGTTCTTAGCTGCAAATCAGAGCAAGATACTGGCTGATTTGCGCAGAAATGCAATTTACTGAAAGGATGGTTGAGAGCACAGAGAATCAACAGCAAAGTTGAAAGCTGAGAAAAAGAAAATGCAGGGGAATGTGAAAATCCTCATCTTGACCACTCACAGGACCTCCACCTCTAAGTTTTGAGCCTAGATTCCAAAGGTTAAGACAACCAACTTTTTAATCTGTAAACCAAAACAGGGCACCAGAGACTTTTTTTTTTTACATTTCTTCTCCCTGGAAAGAGGACAAAAGAAGATTAGGAGAAAGTATGGAGAAGACAAAAATGAAATGAAGGCCATCAAACTAGGAATACCTAGCAGAATAGTAACACCGCCAGTCTATTCTACAGAAAAGGTCACTCCTAACAGATGATTTGGCAAGTAGGATGCACGCCTAATGCTGCTGCCAAATACAACTGGTCCCACTGCCTTCCCATACCTGGAAGGAAACCAGTCTCTCCTATTATCTTCAAGGAGTAACGGGCTTCTTGTCACTCTGCAGCCCCTGGTTCTGCTAAACACTCTACTTCTCTCATCTCACTACTTGCAGCTCTGCCCTGCTCTCCACCCTGGCTGGACTCATGCAAAAAACAAAGACCTCTTTCTGTTTCCCCCTTGACTGAAAGGCTACTCATTCAAGGTCATTTTCATTCTCTCAATGAGGAAGTGACTTTGCCTGAGGGTTTGCAGGGTTGGTACGTCACAGTCTGGCAGATGCCCGTCTTCCAAGTCTGTCAGCAATTCTCCCCAACCCCCAACAAGGATTCTGCACTGGCAATGTCCTCACGAGTAGCTGCCTCCCCATATCCTAATGGCTCTTCTCCCTCACTCGCTGTGTCCCAGCCTCTGAAGCACGTTAGAGTCTGAGTGAGGACAGTTTAGCACTTTCTTTGTCTCCGCCAGCCCATGCCTTCAGTGGTCTGGCAACAACCAAACACCTCTATCGAGGGTATGGTGCTTGACACCTGTCTCTGCGGGATCCCACAGCCCACATCTTAGCTGACCATGTGTCTCCTTGCTAATTACTCATCTGAATGAAACACAGACGAGCACCTAGAAGAGTTACCGTGTCAGTCAACAAGAGAAGACTTGTGGCAACCTAAGTGCAGAGGAGACTGGGATAGTAAAAGTTGCTTTCTCGTCCCTTTAATTTACATCCTGTCACCAACTGCTTAAATGTTATTTTAAAAGTCAAACCTTGTGATTTTAGTACGCAGTTTCAACAATTCTTTGTGGGGAAAGGACCACACCAAAAAGTGAAAGACATCTACATATAAAATCTTTATTACAGGCAATATTGGTCCATACACTACACAATACCAACAGTACAAGTTTAATCTTTCAAAATCATCATTTAAACAGCAAAAGACCAAGAAATAAAATTTGAATCAGCTGAGTATTTTTCAAAATATTCTCAATGCACATTATCCTCAGTTCCCTTATAATAATGAAACATACAAATACAGAAAAATACCCCATTTAACGTATACTAGTGTTAAATGGTTATTTGGCTTAAAATCTGAGTTAAGAAAATCCTTTTTAGCAACCTACATACAGATAAGTAGCAAACTTTATTATATTAAACAAAT